CCCCCCGGGTCTCCGTTGAAGGGGCTGGCAGCGATGGGGGTACAGTAAACGTTGCCCCCTTCTTTGCTTACCCAACCTGATGCTGGGAGGACCAGAGGCCAAGGCCTGCTCATTGTCCGCGGAGCCGCCCTGACGGAGAGGGTGGCCAAACGGGGGAGGGAGCCGAAAGTCACTCTGGTCTCATTCTTCGGGAGTCCTCCTGTGCCTGTTTCTACACGCCGGCCTTGTCCAACTGTACCTGCAGCAGTGTTGTTATTTCTCAGGATCCCAGAGGCAGCTCAGGGGGATGCCCTGGAGTTTCTTTTTCTAAATACGTCTCTCTCGGAAGCAAGCGGCCCCTCTGCTTATGAAGGGAGCCTTTGTCTCCCGGAGGGCAGGGGCGGACGTCGCCTTTTCCCCGGGCCGAACCTGAGCCTTCTCCGGGGAGTGCCTCGCGGTCTTAAACGCGGCCCACCCCCTCTCTCGGACGGACGTCCCTTTTGCGCTGGCTGGGAGGAAGGGACTCGGCGGGGCCTCTGCCGGTGGCCCTCGGCGGGGATCCTCTCTGTGGATCAGCCAGCCCCGAATCTTGCCTCAGACACCGAGGATGAAGAAAAGTCTGAATTTGGGGTGGGGGGGGCTGGCCAAGATTCGGAGCCCAGCGCAGGGCTTAAAGGCTTGCTTAGCCCGAGCCCTTCCTTTCCCCGCTTTTAAACCACAAAGTTTTTAATTCCCGGTCCAGGACAACAGCTCCCTCCCTCTCTCCCTCCCTCCTCCATTCATGGGTGGGAGGTACACACGGACTCCACACCATCCTCCCCAGTGTAAGAATGTACGTATGTATGAAATGTGTAGTTTACGGGATATATGTTTTGTAACAGTTTCCATGAAGTAGCACACGACCTTGTGTGATGTGTATACTGCACTGTAAGTAGCCTTTTCAATAAAAGACCACCGTTTTGATAGTTGTGGGCTTGGCTGGGGGGGGGGCGCTTTCTGCCCCCAGGAAGCTAATAATCCCTGCACGGTTCACTAAGACCCTTCACTGGAAGTCTCTTGGGAGCATCTAGTCCCGTCTCTTAAAGAATCCTTCTGTAGCTTGACCAGGGACTCGTCTGCGCCGGCTTCCCTCTCAGATGCAGATGCAGCAAAATCAGGAGCCATCAGAGGAGGCTGCCTGTTGCATCTCTACCTGAGTCCACGTGCTGACGGTTAATGGCTGGGGCCTGAAAGGCAGACACCCCTGCTGCAGTGAGAATGAAATACTGAAGGCACCTGATCATCTCACTTTTCCAATAAAGACCTTTTCTGCAGCTTTCTAGAACATCAGACGAGCCCTGCTGGATCACACCAGTGCTCCATGTAGTCCAGCCTCCTGTCTCACACGGTGGCCAGCCAGTTCCTCTGGACGGCCAACAGCAGGGCACAGAGGACGAGGCCTTCGTGAGAACATCAGAAGAGCCCTGCTGGGTCCATCCAGTCTGGCATCCTGTCTCACTCAGGGGCCAGCCAGTTCCTCCGGAGGGCCAACAACACGCCACAGAGGCTGAGGCCTTCCCCTGATGTTGCCTCCTGGCACTGGGATCCAGATTAGTGCCTCTGAATGTGGTGGATAAGAATATCAGAAGAGCCCTGCTGGATCAGACCAGTGGTCCATCTAGTCCAGCATCCTGTCTCACTCAGGGGCCAGCCAGTTCCTCTGGAGAGCCAACAACAGGACATAGAGGCCAAGGCCTTCACCTGATGTTGCCTCCTGGCTCGGGGATCCAGATTAGTGCCTCTGAATGTGGTGGATAAGAACATCAGAAGAGCCCTGCTGGATCAGACCAATGGTCCATCTAGTCCAGCCTCCTATCTCACATAGAGGCCAACCAATCCCCTTGGAGGGCCAACAACAGGGCACAGAGGCCAAGAACTTCCCCTGATGTTGCCTCCTGGCTCGGGGATTCAGAGGATTAGTGCCTCTGAATGTGGAGGATAAGAACTTCAGAAGAGCCCTGCTGGATCAGACCAATGGTCCATCTAGTCTAGCCTCCTGTCTCACACAGTGGCCAGCCAGTTCCTTTGGAGAGCCAACCACAGGGCATGGAGGCCGAGGCCTTCACCTGATGTTGCCTCCTGGCTCCGGGATTCAGAGGCTCAGCGCCTCTGACTGTGGAGCTTCCCCTCAGTCACCATGGCTAGTAGCCATTCGATAGACTTATCCTCTCTGAATCATACCCACTGTCAAAGATTGATCCTCATTTTCTAGTCCACGAGAATGTTTGCGTGACTACTACCCTGACTTTGTGTCACTCTTCAATCACAAGCGGTTTATCCACAAGCCCCAAAGAGGGTGTATCTGTAAGGTGTTGATAAATGGAGCGATCTGAGCGCAGCCGGAAGGGGACAGCTACTGCCCAGACCCTTGAGGAAACACACAAGCAGGCGGAGATTGTGCCAAATTTAATGTTTCGGACCACTGGTTCTACTCGAGCTCCGTGGTGTTCGCCGCGCTGGGAAGGCTGCGGTAGGCGACGTTCCAGAACTGCACGTAAGGCGCTCTCAGGCCCTGCTTCACCGAGTCATAGTTGATGTCCTTGTTGATGTCCAGGTAGTAGCCCTGCTGAGGATCGTAGGGGACCCAGCCAATGGGCACGGTGGATTCGCCTTTGTTGGGGTCACTAAGAAAACGGGACAAAATGAAACACGGCTGCTCAGTAGAAAGCAAGATCGGGGGGTGGGGGCGGTGTGTGAAGCAAGAAAACACCATTCCAGCTGGACCGAGCCTGCCTTGCCCCTGCCAGAAGTCCCTACAAGAAGAAGGGATTGGATTCATACCCCGCCCTTCACTACCCGAAGGCGCCCCAGAGCGGCTCACAATCTCCTTTCCCTTCCCCTCCCCACAACAGACACCCTGTGAACAGTGTTCCCTCTAAGCTGAGTTAGTGTGAGCTTGCTCACAGTTTTTAAGCCTCAGGCACACATTTTCGTCTGAGTTCAGGAAGGAGGGCTCCAGAGCAAATTGATTTATGCAGCAGCCAAATTGCTCACTCACAACGTTAATGCCAGGAGCTCACAAAGTAGAATTTTTGCTCACAGGACTCCACAGCTTAGAGGGAGCATTGCCTGTGAGGTAGGCGGGGCTGAGAGAGCTCTTTCGAGGACTGCTCCTGAGAGAACAGCTCTGAGAGAACTTGTGACTGACGCTGCAGCAAAGGGTGGCGTGGTCCAGCAGCCAGGGGCAGTTCCGATACGGAGGTCTCTCTACTGGCACCTCTGCACCGGCTGCTTCATTCTCACCAACATGGCGTAAGCCGACGGCATTCAAGATTCCTCCTGCAAGCGTTGTCTGCCTGTGGCAGGGGCAAGACAGCCATGTGGGGGCCAGTGGGGCTCAGGCATGGCCCTCCAGCCGTCTCTGGTCTTTAGGAAATGCCCACCACTGCCCCCTGCTGGTGCCAGCCCCTTTTCCCAGAAGAGAGGCATCAGAAGATTTGTTGGGTTTTTTGACAAGCCAGGAGATTCTTCCACAGACCCCACACATCTTTTCCCCTGAAAATGGGGGCTGGCCACCAGTGTTCCCTCTCAGCTGAGTTAGTGTGAGCTAGCTCACAGTTTTTTAGCCTCCGGCTCACAGGTTTTTGCCTTAGCTCAGGAAGGAGGGCTCCAGAGCAAACTAAATTTATGCAGTAGCCAAATCGCTCGCTCACAACTTTAATGCCAGTAGCTCACAAAGTAGAATTGTTGCTCACAAGGCGCCACAGCTTATGGGGAGCATTGCTGGCCACAAAAGCGCTTGCCTGTCCCACAAGAGGGAGGCTGGCAGACCTGGAAGAGGGACCAGGTGCCTTTGGCACAGGGAAAAGGTGCAGTCAAGGTGGGAGGGGGGAAAGACTGGCCCCGGAAGGACTCTGTGAAATGCCCTCGGGAAGGAAGGGGAGGTGGCCCCCCTTGGATCCGCTGCAGACATCTGTTTCTCTGTGGCTCACTGCAACTGGAGTTTCACCCTCGGCTGAAAAAGCAGGAAGCTGAAACACAAGGAAATGGGCCTGTTCCCATGGCGGTCTCTCGCCTCCCTCAGCCATGGGAAAGCTTGACCTCATTACTGAAGGGACAAGTGCAAAGGCCACTTTGAAACACCGCCCCCCCCCCTTTTGTTAAAAACACAGCATGAACATTTGGAGCCTTGCTGAGAACATGGGGGGGGGGAGAAGGGGAGTTTTTTTTAAGTGGGGGTTTCTTAGTATCATCACAGGGACCCCACCGGAGCTTGAAAAGAGAGAGGAGAAGCTACATTTGGATGTCTGTCTCCCTTCAGAGAGACTTCGTTTCCCTGGACCTCTCTCTCTGTTCAAGACGGACGGAGCCAAGTTGATTTTCAGATTGAAAAGCCAAGCTAGAGAGGGGAGCCGACTGCTCTGAGATTATACCGGAGGCCGGTAGGAACAGAAGAGGGCTGGTGCCCAGCCGGAAGAGCACCCTGAGCGAGAGAGATCTCTTACCCCGTCCTGGCAAAGTTGGTCCAGTAAGCGATCATGGCCTTGGAGACGGTCCGGTGCTGAGCCCGGTAGCCCAGGGGCGTGGCAAAGGGCTTCCCAAAGACGTACTGGAGATCGTCGGCGTGGTCCGCCCCAACCCAGCTGGGATAAACTGGCATTCGAGACGGCTGGGAGAACACGTAGCTGTAGGTCTTGCCACTCCTGAAAGCAGAGAGGGGGGAACACAGAGATGGAGAGGCAGACGGGCACAGGTGCCCATGCGAAAACTGTGTGTTGGAGAGGAGGCCCCACACAGAGGCTAAGCCAAAATGGCACAGGATCCTCCCAAGAGCTCAGTCACTCTAAAAACCACACATGCCACAGGCTGTATTTTGAACTAATGGCTGGGGGGGGGGGCAAGCATGCAAGCCAGGGGAAGACCACAGACTGCTATAAAAGTCAATGACTAACAAGAACTCCTCTAGCGGGACATCAGAGGGCTTTGAACAGGCAGGGACAGCCACCTCCCTCGTGCCCAGAAGCAACTGGCTGGAAGACGGCACGCTGGATCCCATTGGCAAAGCAAGGGCAGGACAGGGCAAGGAAGAAAGGGAGTCGGGGTTGGCTTGGAAGGGTGGCTGGCATCCTTTGAGCCAGAGGTCCCCAACCTTCTTGAGCCTGTGGGCACATTTGGCATTCTGATGCAACACGGTGGCCACAAAACAGCCTCCACAGCTTATCTTCTGTCACACAGGGAAGAGCCAATCTTCTGCTGTGGTGGCAGCTGCTACCAAAGCAACGTTTCTTAAAAAAAAAAATCTGCAGCTAATCAAGAACACGACGAAGAGATTGGATTTATACCCCACCCTTCACTACCTGAAGGAGTCTCAGAGTGGCTTACAATCCCTTTCCCTTCCCCTCCCCACAACAGACACCCTGGGAGGTAGAAGAAGAAGAAGAGGAGATTGGATTTATACCCCGCCCCTCACTACCCAAAGGTGTCTCAGAGTGGCTTACAAACTCCTTTCCCTTCCCCTCCCCACCACAGACACCCTGTGAGGTAGAAGAAGAAGAGATTGGATTTATACCCCGCACCTCACTACCTGAAGGAGTCTCAGAGTGGCTTACAATCCCTTTCCCTTCCCCTCCCCACAGCAGACATCCTGTGAGGGAGGTGGGGCTGAGAGAGCTCTCCCGAGAACTGCTCATGACAGAACAGCTCTGAAAGGACTTATGACTGACCCAAGGCCAATCCAGCGGCTGCAGTGGCCCATCAGAAGCCTTGCTGAGCCAAAGCCGTACCTGGCTACACCCACCAAAAAAACAACAACATTTGGTAGGGGCACCATGTTGGGGACCCCCGCTTTAAGCAGTACAACGTTCAGACTATATTTCAGTCAAAGCTTTCCCATTAAAGCTTTCCCAAGGGGGGGGGGGGAGTCTCAGAGTTCCTCCCCTTCAAAAGAAGCTCCCTCTTCAGAGGCTTCCTGGAGATTAGATTGTGACTGACTCTGGGGGTGCTGTGATCGGTGGGTCCCACCCAGAGGCACACAGGAAGAGTACCCCCCACACACACGCACACACCCTCAAGCCCACCGGTAGCACTCACTTGGCATTTTGGGCATGGAGTTCAAGGGCCCGCTGGGTGGGCACCAGGAATATATAATCAGTCTCCAGATCCACCACGGTCCTTTTCATGACTTCCTGGGTGACGCTGTCGCTCCACACCTGGGTGTACAGCGAGAAGGCGGCACGTGCCCCGTCTGCACCCTTCTCCATGGTCAGCCCCTGAATCACACGATACACGTCTTCCCTAAAAAAAATAAAAATGGAAAAGATTACTGGAGCTCAGGGATAGCCAATGAAGCAGATGGGCAACAGGTACAGGACAGACAAGAGACTTCTGTACTCAATAACTCTGGGATTCACGGCCAGTGGAGGTAGTGATGGCCATGGGCACAGATGGCTTTAAAAGAAGGGGTGAGGCATTCATGGAGGAGAGGTCCACCAATTGACCACTAGCCATGATGAATCTATATTCAGAGGCAGCAAACCTCTGAAGCCCAGGGCCAGGAGGCAACAGCTGAGGCCTTCATAAGAACCTCAGAAGAGAAGAAAAAGGAGGAGACTGAATTTATACCCTGTCCTTCACTACCTGAGGGAGTCTCAGAGCAGCGTACAGTCTCCTTCCCCTCCCCCTCCCCACAACAGACACCCTGTGAGGTCGGTGGGCCTGAGAGAGCTCTTTTGAGAACTGCCCTTGAGAGAACAGCTCTGAAATAACTTGTAACTGACCCAGGGTCACACCTGCAGCTGCATGGGGAGGAGTGGGGAATCAAACCTGGTTCTCCCAGATTAGAATCCCTAACCACTACACCAAACTGACCTCAAAGTTACAGCAGCAACTCTGGGACAACCACAAAGGAGACCACACAATGAAGATCTGCCACCGCGTCTGCTCCCCTTCTGTCACCCCACCCTTCCCCAGGGAGTGCGGTTAAGTAAATTACCCCACAACTAGTCCCGTTGGTTCAAAACAGCGGCATTCGACGAAGCACTTATTCCCACCACCCCCAGGAGACAACTTTGAGGAGGAGGGGTCTCACCTGACCGCAAGTTGGTCATGGTGGAAGGCAGCTGCAGGTAAGTGGGGTTGTGGGTGGTCACGCCGATCTCAATGGAACCTGCCCACTTGTCCACCATCTTGTCAATGCGCACCTGGAAGACCTCGCCGTTGCGCAGCGGCCGGTTGCTTAAGACCACTCCGTGGTTGAAATCATCTGTGGCACTGCTCAAGTAGGAGAGACACGAGAGCTCCGTTACTGTGGTGGGGAGTGCTGTTTGCACACGGGCCTGTCAAAACAGAACTGCCCTAGGGCTGAAGCACACAGGTGTGGACTGCCAGGGCTGGCACGATGGGCACACAGACCCTCAGCGGAGGCCACGAACCTGAGTGTCACCCTCCCCGTAAACCTCCCCCTGCCATTGACGAAGCTGTTGCGTTGCCATGGAATGCCCACGAACATTCTAACCAGAGCGAAGGTGCGAGCAACCGAGCTGCTTCTGCAAGGGCAGCAAAACTTAGTTTGGCCGGCAGAGCACCTCGCACAGGACCTGCGCCAACAGGACATGTTTCCTGCTGGCAGAAGTGGAGAGAAAGAAAAGAGGGCGGGGCTGAGAGAGGGCGGCGGGCGGCGAACGCGTATATGAAGCTGCCTTATACCGGGTCAGGCATCGGCCCCATCAACGGCAGCGCTGCCCACTCAGACTGGCAGCATCTCTCCAGCGTCTCAAGCAGAGAAAGGTCCTTTCCCATCACCTACTGCCTGGTCCCTTTTAACCGGAGGTGCTGAGGACGGGAGCTGAGACCCTCTTCGTGACAAGCAGATGCTCTGCCCCTGAGCCACGGCCCCTCTCCTCCCCCGATAAAGGGCTGCAGGTCTCCAGCATAAGATATTTCTCTTAGCCGGAGGCCTTGAAGATACTGAGGATGCATACTGGGGCCGTAGAGCGGTCCGTCCCTCGTTGATGATGGCGGCCTTCTGCCCACAGTTTGGGTGGAAAAGCAGGCGCTCCGGCTCCGGGTCACTCCCAGCATCGATGGCGCGGCGCCCCACGTCTGGCGACAGGGCCCTCATGATGGCGTTGTTACGCCGGAGGCGGTCACTGTGGTTATGGTTGTGCACGATGGTGACCTTCACAGCCATGCCATAAAGGTCTACCACACCATAAACCACCAGGGGAGTCAGGTTGGTGGCCACACCTGGAAGAAAGGGGAAAGTGAACAGACGGTTACTCGTCTACAACGATGGGCCAAGTAACGCCTGTGTGGCCCAAAGATACCAACTGGGCACACAAGGCCTGTAGATTCCTGTCCTCTCCCAAGTGTCCGTTTGCTATGGCTTCTAGCCTATATCATCTTCATCTTTCATCACAAAGACCACAATCTTGTCCTCCTTTCATAAGAACATAAGAAGAGCCCTGCTGGATCAGACCAGTGGTCCATCTAGTCCAGCATCCTGCCTCACACAGTGGCCCTCCAGTTCCTCTGGAGGTCCAGCAACAGGGTATAGAGGCCGAGGCCTTCACAAGAGCATCAGAAGAGCCCCGCTGGATCAGACCGGCAGTCCATCTAGTCCAGCATCCTGCCTCGCACAGGGCCCAACCAGTTCCTCTGGAGGGCCAACAACAGGGCATGGAGGCCGAGGCCTTCATAAGAACCTCAGAAGGGAAGAAAAAGGAGGAGACTGAATTTCTACCCTGTCCTTCACTACCTGAGGGAGTCTCAGAGCAGCGTACAGTCTCCTTCCCCTCCCCCTCCCCACAACAGACACCCTGTGAGGTCGGTGGGCCTGAGAGAGCTCTTTTGAGAACTGCCCTTGAGAGAACAGCTCTGAAATAACTTGTAACTGACCCAGGGTCACACCTGCAGCTGCATGTGGAGGAGTGGGGTATCAAACCCAGTTCTCCCGGATTAGAATCCGCGTTTCTAACCACTACACAAAACTGCCTTAGTGCCTCTGAATGTGGAGGATAAGAACATCAGAAGAGCCCTGCTGGATCAGACCAGGGGTCCATATAATCCGGCATCCTGTCTCACACAGGGGCCCCCCAACAGGGCATGGAGGCTGAGGCCTTCCCTTGGTTCTGGGATTCTGAGACTTCGTGCCTCTGGATAGGGCATGGAGGCCGAGGCCTTCCCTCGGTTCTGGGATTCTGAGGCTTCGTGCCTCTGGATGTGGAAGTTCCCCTCGGTCACCAGGGCTAGTAAACTTATCCACCATGAATCTCTCTAATCCTTTTCTGCAGCTTTGCACAGCCGACAGATGCTGCCTACGGAAATTAGATACCCAGAGTCAGGGTACCCCTTCCAGAGGCAGGAGTTCTTCTTGGCCTTTGTTCAGTTCAGAACTCCAGCCAGGCTACGTATAAGCAGAGCTCTTTTTGTAGAAAAAGCCCAGCAGGAACCCATTAGCATAATAGGCCACACCCAGCAGCAGAAACTCATTAGCATGTTAGGCCACACCCCTGACAGCACAGCTCATTAGCATAATAGGCCACACCCCCGTGCCTTCCCTTGGCTCGCCCGGGCACCGCGTGGCTGCAGGGAGCCCAGGCAAGCCAGCCCTTGGACAGGTCAGGGAAGGCACGGGGAGGCATTTAAATGCCTCCCCGATCCTTCCAGGGCACCCCTTGGCCTGCCCACCTTGCAGTCGCCGGGGGGGTCGCTCTCCAGGCCTTTCCTCTGTAGCCACGCACGCGCAAAGGTTTTGGCTGTAGTGGGCGTGGCCAGCTCTGAAGCCAGCCGGAACTCCATTCCTGTGCATCCCTGCCCAAAAATAGTCCTGCGTATAAGGAAACTTAACTATAGTTTGTCAAACTGTGGTTTACACATGGCTGCCAGAGCGGACACGACAAGGGGAGTGATACGAGATTGCTGATCAGACCCAGCCCAGTGACACTGCCTCCGGGGGGGGGGGGCCCTAGGGGCTGGCGTCCCTGAAGCCCCAGGTTGCTCAATGTACGCCTGGGAGCTCAGACTGTCAGCACGTAATGTCAGGTTAAGTCTCATCTACTGCGTTTTGATCCCACTCTTCTTCCAAGGAACCCAGGCTGGCGAACTTGCTCGCTGAATAAGCCAGCTTCCAAAAGGTGGACTGCAACTCAGCTTCTTGAAACCTGGCTTAGTTCCTCCTCCGGTCCTGCAAACCGATCTTTCCTCCTTACGCTGTGATCTTCACCAGGGGGCGGTTGAGGGCCGGCATGTCGAGCGAGGCAAAGAAGTGCCCGTCCATGTTGTTCACGCCGGCGATGTAGTCAATGTCCGCGGCGTTGGCAAAGAGCTTGTCGGGGGTGTCGGGGATGAAGTCTCCGTCGACCACCGGGGTTAAGGCCAGGTAGTGGACCAGGGGATCTGCAGGGAGAGGAGAGGAGGCCAGAGGGGCCTGAGCCAAGGAGCGAGGCAGGAAGGCATTCTGCCTCACGCGCACGCCTTGCCAGTCCTCAACAGTGCACAGCCAAACGGGAGTGCAGGTATCTCCTTTTCAAAAAAGGGTCACAAAGAAATTCCGTATTGGGGAATCTTCTTCTCTTGGAGACCAGAGAAAGAGCCTCAGCGCTCATTGGAAGGACTAAAGAGTTCTGTGGTTGTTGTTTTTTTTAATTTGGAATTTGGGTTGGTCGGGCTGGGATGGAACCAGAAATATGGGGACAGGAGGAGGAGGATCAAGCTTTGGACAGGAACGGGTTCTTTACCCCTTCTTTTGCTGTTACAGCGATAACCTCACTTCCCTGGTCCTTGGCTAAAATAGCTTCACCCCCTCATCTGGTGTGGACTTTCCCCCCAAGCATTTGAGTGACGCTGAGAGCCACCCCACTAGAGTTACCGGGACCCTCCTGGCCACCGGCAGTGTTCCCTCTAAGCTGAGCTAGTGTGAGCTGGCTCACAGTTTTTTAGCCTCCGGCTCACACATTTTTGTCTTCGCTCTGGAAGGATGGCTCCAGAGCAGACTAATCTATGCAGTAGCCAAGTCGCTCGCTCACCACTTTAATGCCCGTAGCACCCAAAGTGGAATTTTTGCTCACAGGACTCCACAGCTTAGAGGAGGGGGCATTGGTGGGGAGTAGGCGGGGTCGGGTTGCCAGATACAGGTTGGGAATCCCCTGGAGATTTTAGGGTGGAGCCTGGGGAGGACGGGGACCTCAGCTAGGTGCAGTGGCCATAGAGTCCGCCAAGTCTCCCTCTGAGCTGTGGAGTCTTGTGAGCAAAAAATTCTGCTTTGTGAGCTACGGGCATTAAAGTGGTGAGCGAGCGGTCTGGCTGCTGCATAAATTACTTTGCACTGGAGCCCTCCTTCCTGAGCGAAGGCAAAAATGTGTGAGGTGGAGGCTGAAAAACTGTGAGCTGGCTCACACTCACTCAGCTTAGAGGGAACACTGGGGTCCAGCCTCCAAAGCAGCCATTTCCTCCGGGGAACTTGATCTCTCTAGTCTGGAGATGAGGTATAATTCCAGGGGATCCCCAGGCCCCAACTGGAGGCTAGCACAAAACGACAGATAGGAAGCTGTCATGAACAAGCGCTCTATAATAATACACAGTGCAGAAATAACAAAACAGATGTGATGATAATCCACAAAAAAGTCCTTAGTGGACAGGAGATGAATGAACCCTCAAAGATATAAGCTGCAAGGCGAGTAGAAAAATGGTTGACGAAAATCCCCGGAGTCAAGTTCCGTTTCGAAGAAACCTCCTCTGAACAACATCAGTTCTTCTGGATGACATCAGACATATAACACGGAGTTTTGTCTAATCTCATCGGTAGCAATCATTCCAACCTGATAGGATAATGATCCTGATCCATGATCTATGGGATTTCTCTCAAAGCGGGCAGGCTCAATGAAAAGGTGCCTTTGAGAGAAGTCCCATAGATCATGGATCAGGATCATTATCCTATCAGGTTGGAATGATTGCTACCGATGAGATTAGACAAAACTCCGTGTTATATGTCTGATGTCATCCAGAAGAACTGATGTTGTTCAGAGGAGGTTTCTTCGAAACGGAACTTGACTCCGGGGATTTTCGTCAACCATTTTTCTACTCGCCTTGCAGCTTATATCTTTGAGGATTCATTCATCTCCTGTCCACTAAGGACTTTTTTGTGGATTATCATCACATCTGTTTTGTTATTTCTGCACTGTGTATTATTGGGGGCACCCTGCATCAAAAATGGCTGGACGTTTAGCCAAATGTTCTGGTGAGTTCAAAAGCTTGCCTAACATTTCACATCATTTCACTGCCCTTTAATAACACAGATTACGTGGATTTCAGTTCTCGACATCTTAACACCAATGAGGCTGATGCCAAGTGAGATCCAAAGCAGCCATTTCCTCCGGGGAACTTGATCTCTCTAGTCTGGAGATGAGGTATAATTCCAGGGGATCCCCAGGCCCCAACTGGAGGCTAGCACAAAACGACAGATAGGAAGCGGTCATGAACAAGCGCTCTATAATAATACACAGTGCAGAAATAACAAAACAGATGTGATGATAATCCACAAAAAAGTCCTTAGTGGACAGGAGATGAATGAACCCTCAAAGATATAAGCTGCAAGGCGAGTAGAAAAATGGTTGACGAAAATCCCCGGAGTCAAGTTCCGTTTCGAAGAAACCTCCTCTGAACAACATCAGTTCTTCTGGATGACATCAGACATATAACACGGAGTTTTGTCTAATCTCATCGGTAGCAATCATTCCAACCTGATAGGATAATGATCCTGATCCATGATCTATGGGATTTCTCTCAAAGCGGGCAGGCTCAATGAAAAGGTGCCTTTGAGAGAAGTCCCATAGATCATGGAACAGGAAGGATCATTATCCTTCGTCAACCATTTTTCTACTCGCCTTGCAGCCTGTATCTCTGAGGAGTCATTCATCTTCTATCCACTAAGGACATTTTTGGTGGATTATTATCACATCTGTTTTGTTATTTCCTGATATTTTTGCACTGTGTATTATTATAGAGCGCTTGTTCATGACAGCTTCCTATGTGTCGTTTTGTGCTATTTTCGGGGCTGTGGCCTTCTATTGTTTGCCCCAACTGGATGCTGGCATCACAATGCCCCCCACTTTCCTCTTCCCTCTCCAAAAAAACAAACAATTTATCTAGCTTGACAGGAAAGACGAGTAACAGGAGCGATCTTTGGAGTTTGCCGAAGACCCAGGAGGGCCCCACTGCTAGTCCTGTGCTCAGGGGTGGAGCAGATCTGGGGCCTGCCCCTGCGGTAAGAGGGCAATTGGGGAGTCCAGTGCACGCGCTGGGTGTCAGCTATGCTGCCATGGGGGTTGGGGAGTTCGTTCTGTGTCTTGGTAATTGCTATTGCATTCCTATCTCTGCTGTTCTGCCTGTGCTGAAATGCTTATCTCTACAGATGTGCAGGAGGAGGATGTATTGTCTGGAAGTCTCCTGTGTACCGTGAGAGACTAATGCTTCCCAGCTTTCGCCACCTAACGGTTTCCTAGCTGGTCCCGCGCGCGGGAGGGTAGCTAATTGGCCCATGCCATGGGGGGTGCATACTAATGCCCTATCAGTGGTGGCGAACCTATGGCATGGGTGCCAGAGGTGGCACTGAGAGCCTTCTCTGTGGGCACGCGTGCCATCACCCCAGCCAGGCCTAGACCATCATTAAAGTGTCGAATTCTCTGCCAAATAATTTTAAGTAAATGAAAGCATTTGGGATTGCTTTCCTTACTTTGTTTGGATGATCTTAAGTTAATGTATGAGTTGTTTTTTCTAAAGTAAAACCTCAGTATTCAGGTTAATTGCCGTGTTGGCACTTTGCGATAAATAAGTGGGTTTTGGGTCGCAGTTTGGGCACTCGGTCTCTAAAAGGTTCGCCATCACTGCCCTATATCCTATTATGTTCAATGGGTTACCACCATTCTTAACAGTGCCTGTGTTACTGCATCTATAGCTTTGCAATAAAAGTATAACCGTTCC